ATTTTCAAGAACTGACAATTGCAACAGTCCCCGTCGTCACCCCGGCAAAGCCTGCAAAACTCACGATTGCACGTAACACATGAGAATTCAGCGCTTGGGTGCCTACGGTCGTTGGGATCATCGAGGGCACAAATCTTTGGCGCATCTGGGCCACCGGTACCGGGAGCTCCTCTTGCGGCCGGTGCCGAGGCCTGTCCACGATCAGATGGAGCTCCAGGGGTCCTCCACCTGCCGCCGGGACTCTGGATGTCGGCACTAGCTCTACTCGCAGGAGTCCTCCAGTCATCGCCGGGACTCTGGATGTCGGCATGGGCCCTAATACCCCTACCACCTCCTGGATGACGGTCTGGGTTCGGAGAGACGTTCCCGCTATCGCGGATCGGTCTATCCAGGTTCGGAGAGATGCTCCCGCTATCGCGGATTGGCCTCTCCCCCCTTGATTGCCGACTTCGGACCTCAGATCCCCTATCGGGGACGGCAGCAGGCCTCGGGCTCCTATTCCTACCCACATCCCTATTGGGAGAAACAGAAATGTCCCCCCTTGCGCGCGCGCGGGGGCCATCCCTCGCACGCCCTGGCGGTGAATGCGACCTGTCAGGCAATCCCCGAGCCCTCCTGCTTCCGCTGTCATCCCTATCCCTATCGGGATAAATGGGATGCCTGTCTGCACGAGAAGGATCGACCCTACCGGGCACATCTGGCAAAGCGTGATCGACCAAATCGACACCTCCGCCCGGTCTCACCGGAAGGCCAGTACCCCGGCCATTACCTTCTCCGGGAGTGGGCGTCGGAGACCTGATTCTGTGTCCTTGCCCCGCGAAAGCGTCGTATCCGACGTTCCGTCTCTCTCTAGGCTGTGGGGGATTCGCCTGATTGTCCTGGGCACCCTGAATAATGACAGCAGCTTCATCAACATGACCTTCGATTTCATAGAGCTGAGCCATGATCCTGTTGTTCATTCCATTAAGAGTACGCATGTTACTCTCAACAGTGCTGATCCTCCGCATAGCGCCCTCAAGCGTACCCCTGAATGAGTCAATCTCACGCCTAACGGCAGACCGTGCTTGATCACTATTTGCAGGGAGACTGCGGATCTGTCTTCTGATGTCATCAAGAACTTGATTCAGAATTCCCGAACTCGCCTCGTACTGCTCAACACGGGATTTCAAGGTTTCAAACCTTGCAAGGACATCGTCATGGTCCCCATGGTGGCGTTGAGCTCCACGGGATAGATCCTGGATCTTTCGATTGACTTCGTCAATTGCTTCATGCCAGTCCTGCGGGGATACGGGCCCTGATGATCTATCGATCGCCTGTGAACCCCTTCCACTTTGCAGCCTCGACATCCGATTAGCGAGAAGGGTTTGCTCTTCATTGATGCCACCAATAGATTCGGAGGCCCACTTACACTTCTCGATTGCGAGAGGGTTTCTCTTCAGATGCCACCAATAGATTCGGAGGCCCACTTAGCAAACTTCTCGTGTTCGAGGAGAGCCTTCTCGAGCTTCAGGTTTAACTCCCTGAAATTCGCGTTCACCACACTGCTACTGGCCCTATCGGACGGTTGCGCGACAGGATTCAAATTCCATTCACCTGCCGGCGTCCGCATCCCGACGGTCTTCTCTACCGAGAACATCCGTTTCTCGAGCTTTTCCAAGTCCTTAAGGATCTCATCCTCGGAAGCAGCATGGCTCCTGTGGACGGCCTCACGATTCTCTTGAATCACCTGACGAAGCCGATCAGTCGCGGCCTCATTGTCCTTAACAGATTCGTGAACCTCGTGGGAAAGTAGATTAATCCTCTGCTCCACGACTTCAGCCTGTTCATCGATGGCTTGCCTCACAATGGCTTTGCTGTCGGGAATAACTTCCCTTGCAAACCGCTGAACTATCATTCGCATCCTCCCGGCATCAGATTGAGTCGCAACCTCAGCTGCCAGGCGATCGATCTTGTCCTTCGTCTGTTGACTCTCGTCGCTCCATTCCCTTCGCATGGAACTCACTTGACCATTCAGTAACCTGATTTGGTCAGCAAAAATATGGAACGCCTTCGCGACTGAGCCAGAAACCTCACCCCTCTCGAGCATCTCCTGGATGTGCAAATCAAACACCTCCTTTGCCCTAGCGTCACCTGATTCGCCGGAAGACTGGGATCTGAGGGCGGGAGGAGTCGATATCTCGATCCTCTCAGGAGCCCCACTAGCCCCGGCATGTCTTCTGGGGTCATCTACGGGACAATTATCAATCCTGGATGGTCTACTCGGGGTAGATCCCCTTCTCCGGCTATCGCCAGATCGGGGATCAATGTTGGACGCACGAGACTCGGGAGTAGAGTGAATGTGAACATCAGCAGGATCAGGCATCTCCTCATCCTGCGGAGTTGAATCCATTGGTGAGGGGCTAGCCCTCCTCGCCTTTGACCTATCGGTCTCAATGGCCAGGGGTGACGGTCTCTTCGCAGAAGCACTACGTTCCCTGGCGGTCGAGCCCCACTGAGGTGTGAACTCGTTGCTAGACCTAAGTGTTTCAAGGTCACTAGTATCTCGCCCTAACGGGCTAGCGATCGACGGATGATCCTCGATTCCGAGTGCATCGGCAAGCCGGCCATCTCTTGCACCTTTCCCAACGACATCGGCAACCCGCTCAGTGATCCTCGGCGAACCAGTAACCCGGTTCGAGTTCACGTCTCTCTGATCCAACGGACCTCCAAAAGTAATGTTGGGAAAAGGGGGAACATTCGGGGTATCACCAATCGCCGGGGGACCTACCGGTCCCTCACGGTCATGGATAGCCTCCAATCCCCGAAGAACTTCCCGACTGTCCCTGGCTCTCTCTCTCTCGCTTCGGGCGTCCCTGTCAACACGAAGGTCCCTGGCGGCTCCACGAGAGAGGCTCCTGGGCCTCGCAGCATCACGGATCCTAGCATTTCGTCGTGATTGGTCCTCCTCCTCATCACGGCGATCCGCAAATGCGGCATACTCGTCATCATCACCGACCTCAAACTTGGCAGCGGCAGGGCTAGTCCTTGCAGCCGCACGGTTGCCTGCATATCGGCGCGAATGGCCCTCCTCCTCATCCGCAAAATTGTAATCTTCGTCATCATAAGACTCAGATTTGGCAGTAATAGGGTTGGGCCTACCGGCATCAGATCCCTGCTTTGAGCTACTGCCCCATCCTGCGGTCGATTTCAACAGATCATCGTATCCGAAGTCTGAGAACTTCGCTCCTCGTGCTCATCAAACTGACCTGGATTCTGAGAACCAGTGGATCGGCCCGGGATACCTCCCGGAGCCAGAACCATAGTCCCTGGTCCCTGCGGCCTATTCTCAAACTCATCCGAGACCTGCGACTCACCTGGAACAAGAGATCTCGGAGGTCGAATCGGCATGGCCTCCGGGTCATCCGAATGAGGGCGGGCCATGTCCATCGCCATGCTGATGAAGTCAAAATGTCCACGCCTGTGACCTGATTCAGAGCCACTCCTATCGGAGTAAACCCTTCGTGTCTGCTCGTCATCAGTGGCCTGGCGGAAAATACGATCGTCTCCATCGTCGGCGTACCTGCCACGGCCCCTGGGTGTATCCCTACCGGGATCTTCACCCCTGCGGTCCTGACCTGTCGAACCTGCTTCGAAATCCTCGTAGTCATAGTCCGGTAGGTCCTCACCTGAGCGGAGGCCACCTAGGATGGCCTCCTCATCCACGACGCTCCTTCGAGATCGTGGGGTCGACATAGAGCTTGTAGTTGATGGTCTCAAGCGCGTAGGAAAGTCCTACGGCTGATAACCTGTGATTCGGGCACGAGCCTGTGCCCAGGCAATGGGTAAGTTGGGGTAAACAAGCCACAAAAGAAAGGTTCCCCAAAAGCAAACCAATCCCCGGTCCCAAAGATCAGGGTTTCCCACACACCAGAGAACAACAACCAAAGGAAAACAAACCAAACAAGAAAAGGGTTAACCCGCAACCTTGGTCGACAACAGGCCGCACGACTGGTCCCTACCAACCTGGCGGCGGCCCGAGGTCTCTTTCTCCCCCGAGATGCCGTCGGTCGACGCAGGGGTTCGGCGACGCCCATTCGAGGCGCGACGGAACCCAAAACTTGAGCCAAAACACCACAGGTCGGTCACTAACGCGACGTCCCTGATGATGATATGAACCATGGCTAATCACACAAACAAACAAACAAACAAACAAACAAACAAACAAACAAACAAACAAACAAACAAACAAACAAACAAACAAACAAACAAACAAACAAACAAACAAACAAACAAACAAACAAACAAACCAAACCAACCAACCAACAAACAAACAAACAAACAAACAATGAATCAATCAAACAAACAAAACAAAACAAAACAAAACAAACAAACAAACAAACAAAGAGACAACAGCAACCAAACCAGCAAACAACAACTCACCGGGTGTTTTGGGAAGTGGCCTTTGGATCAAGGGAGGCGTTCTTTTTTTGTTTGGGAGGGTCTCTCCCCGTTTTTCACGCAGAATCAGGCGCAGAGTTTCACGGAAAACCCAACATGTGATGTGATACTCAAGCCCCGGCATTCCAAATGGGGAAATGGACGTGGCCAATCAGTTTGGACGTCTCAAAAGATGTCCAAAGACAAAAGAACCCCTTTTCTAGGTCTCCTTCTTCCGCTTGAGGGTCCCCTGCCTTAGGCCCAAAAGGGCGCATGTCCTTTATCAGGCGCCCCCACAATTGCGCAACGGATTTCCCAAATGGTTTGGCTTTAAAACCAACCAAACAGGGGAACCAAACCTCAACAACGACAAGCCACATACTTTGGTTGCTGTTGACCCTCCGCAAACAGTTTGTAACTTTTTGAGGGTCTAATTCGGAAACAATCCCGGCTGTTTCAACCAAGCCCAGATAGCCATAAAGCCATGGTTAGCCAAAGAGGCCATACAGGCACCATACAGCCACCAGCCAGAAGGCCACACATCCGCAACCAAATCGCCACGTAGCCACAGCTCTTTGCCCGGCCTTGGAGAGCACGCCATTCTGCAGGCAGGTGGCGGCTGCCAGAGTCGGAGTCGTCAACAGCGCTCGCAGCATGGCGAAACCAAAAACGGCACGCGGAGCGAAAAGGATGGGCTTGATCAGAGAGATCTGAAGACATACACTCGAAGCGGGCGCGTCTTTGAGGGGTACCAACTCCCTTCTCTTGGTCTTGGGATTAAACCGGTTTTGGGGATTCCCGGAATGAGGAAACCATAGGATGGATGGTTTTGTTCGGGGTCATTTCCAACGCATTCCTTGCTGAGCACCAGCCAGTTTTTTGTTTTCAAGTAGTTAGTTGTTGGGTTGCTCGAGTTTTGAGATAAGTGGACCCACGCCACCTGTGGTCATGGTGGTCTTGCAAAAAACCGAAACCCAATCCGTGCGACCTGTGGTCATGGTGGTCTTGCCAGAACCCGCTTCCAGTGGAAGCGGAGGGCCTTGCCCTGGAAGCGAATCTGGGAGCACGCGGGCACCAAACTCCGCAAAGTGCCCAAGTCAACCAAAGTTCAACGACAAGCCGTGGACCTGCTCAAGAGTCGCAAAGCCTGCGCCCGCTTCGTTTCCTGACAAACATAGCTGAGCCATGTAAGGCGGCTTGAAGCAAATTCATCGTGGATCCATGTTCCTGGCCCCCAAATGACCATGGGTAACTTTTCCCACTTAGTGGGACATATCATCGTTTTGGTGGTTTTCCCCAATGGTCATCCCATGTAAGGGACCCTTTGATCAAGTCCCATGTTCATACCAATGGCGTTTAACTTCCTTGAGGTTGTTCTTTGAAGGGATCCATGGTCTGGTTGTGTTTTTGTGCTTGTGCCAAATGTAAGTCGTCGATACCTTGCTGTCAAAAAATGGAGTTGTGGGGCACGGCTTTACCATGCCCACAGAACTCGGTGTTCCGAAAAAAAACATCAAATATTCTGCCGCATTGGCAAAAAACAACCCGGCTGGCAGGTTCCGAGGTTGCAATGTATCTGGGTCATTTGTTGGGGAGACTGCCTTGGCGTACTGTTTTTCTTTTTGTTCTGTTTGCACTATTTCTTCCTTTTTTGTTTGTGCCTGTGTGTGCCTGTGTGTATCGGTATTTATTATTTTTACTTGTTCTTTCTTTCTCTCTGGTTTTTTCCTCTGTTTTATTTATTTTTATTTATTTTTATTTTTATTTTATTTATTTTATTTTTTTTTTTTGGGGGGGGGGCTTGTTTTTTAGGGAAAGAGGAGCCCAAGGCCACTCTGATCTGTTCATTTGTGCATCATCGCGAAAACCAAGTTATAGCAAGATACGCAAACGCAAGATACATGTATCCGCTAATTAAAACCATATCTCAAGCACATATCATCACTTGGAGTGATCTAGTATTTCTAATGGATTGTAGCGATACAGCTGAGACCAAATCCTTCGCTTTTAGACAAGTAACACGTTTCCCATACCTTGCGCCATACATTGGCGTGCTTTTTTTGCTCCAACAAACACAGAATCACAGTCCAGGTCCTCCAGTGGAGAGGTTAGAATAAGGGTACCCTTTTGTCTGTAGTCTATTTTAGTAGGGGAACCCTCCCCCAAGAAAGAAATGGGTCAAAAGGGGCACCGATCGCTGGACCTTGCAGCTTAAGCCAAAGCTACAATCACCACCATGCCTTGGGCAGTTTGAATATCAGGCTTCACACATTGATTGACACGCATGGAACAAACGATCCCCTCTCGTTGCAGTGCAGAACGCGCACATATACGTACACGACAAACACATGATTTGTTGATTGTGTTTGCATGTTCTTATACGATGTAATATGCATTTATATGTTCTTAAGCAACATCAATAATGCACACACACACACCGTTTCTGAATGTACAAGCACCTGAGTATTCGTACATAAATAGCTCATGAAGAACTCGATAATTGTGATCAATTGTACATGCCATATATTCGATTGTGTATAAACATAGCTTGCGCTCGATTTGTCATATCGACTTATGTTAAACAACAACGTAATCTTACATGCAGCAAGCTCGTGGACATGAACACAAATCGGGCGCGAATTGCGCCGAGTCGGATACGTCACGAACCGGCTGGGCGATGGTTGGACACGACTCGCCACCGCATATGCAACCAAGGGAAGCGAAGCGCAACGAACCGGCAAGGTTGGAGCCGAATCGAAACCCGCGAGGCTTGGGTTTTAGGAGACATGAAGGCAGAACTCCATAGAGCTGACAGGAGGTTGGAGCAGGAAAGGTTGGAGCACAATCTTGAAATTCCCATCCTCCAAGATAGTAGATAGGTAGATAGGTAGATAGGTAGATAGGTAGATAGTGAGGTCTATAGGTAGATAGATGAGATAGATAGGATAGATAGGTAGGTAGGTAGATAAATCCATCTCTGTCTATATAGGTTAGATTAGATTAGAATAAGCGTATGCTTAGATTCGACAGGTAGATATAGATAGACAGGTAGATAAATAGATAGACTCGATTAGACTAGACTAGATTAGATGAAAATAAAATAGATAGATAGATACATGCTTCGATCGATCGATAGATAGGCTAGGATTGATTGGAGTGGTTTCAATCAATAGACAAACTCATAGATAGATCGACACCTATAGCTTCAATTCAACCGACCATAGAAGACGATATCTTTGCCCTGGCAATACACGCACCACTACCAGGTCAATATCATCGCTGAGTCCATTTTTGCACTGTCGCTCAAGATGAGCTCTTTTCGGGCGATATTCACCCATCTGACTGTGGCTCAAAAAAACCGGTACCAAAATGGAACCCGACTGGTATCTGGAACCAAAGACCAAAACCCGCGTAACCCCAGCTGTTCAATTTTGAGCCATACCCATCTAGGTCTCAAACTATGGCTATTTGGAGGCCCAAGGTCTCAAAGCGTCTCAGGGCGCTTTCGTAACCTCAGTCAGAGGCTTTCACCCGGTGGAGGGATCCCTCTTTTTTGGGGACCCAGGCAAAAAGGACCGGCAAGGATCGGGGGGGGGCGCCGTTTCTTTTCTTGAGGTTTCACTATTACAGGCCCCGGCTCATGCTTTTGCTGGTCGGAGGCTAGGTCCTCCAGTGGAGAGCTTAGAATAAGGGTACCAACTTTTCTTCTGTAGTCTATTTTGGTAGGGGAACCCTCCCCCAAAAGACGGGGTCAAAAAGGGCACCTAGCTAGGGGACCTAGGAGGTTTCCCCGTTTCGAGAAGGCAGCTGAGCCAGCGGCCATGTTTCCCGCTAAAGGCAGGGCTCTCCTGTCACACGGCTCAGGCGGCTGGCTTCCGGTTGCTTCTTCGCCCGGAAAAAATGCATATTTCCAGTAGTGAGAAATTCCCTGCAAAAAAAACCGAGGGACAATGCAACAAATATTCTTGGGCAAATGGAAGCTGGCAGTCTAAGGTATGTCAAAGAAAGAAAAGAAAGGAGTCATGGCCGAAAACACAGGCATTTCCCGCTATGTGGACAGCGCGCAAAATCATGCACCAACGCCAAAGTTTCTGGACGATTTTCTCGACGATGATTCTGAGGGCTCGCCAGAATCCTTCTAAAATTACATATCATCAATTTCAACCGTGATTTGCATTAGAAATTGCGAATTGTCAAGCTCTGCGTTCCTGTGCGCACAGAACAAGCATCCCAAAGTGCGAACTCATGACGTGTGGGTGTGGTTTTGCCCCATTTTGGAAGTTGCGAAGCTGCTTGCTGATGACGGAAAGCACATGTTGTCCAAATGGAGTCCTGGAGTTATCCAACCGGGGAAAACACAACGAATCAAGGAGCGGAGGGGAACAAAACGACAAAACCGACCTGGTGTGATGCTTGGCTTTCGTTCGCCTTTCCTAATGCTGACCCCATGTCAACAACCCCTTTTTTTAAAGAGCGCGTCCCTGACCTTTGTGGGGAACCACATTTTTTTGGAGAGGAACACCCCCCCATTCATCAGCTGGGGTCGCTTAAGAGGTCAGGAACTCCAAGGCCGCCCGCGCGCCTGCGTGGCGCTTTCTGGGCGGAGGAAGCTCCTCCCTTCCCCGGCCTTGAGATCTCGGGGGGCTGCCAGGTCTCCGGCGAGATGGGGGGACAAAAGGTCCGGTGGAGGGAGTGGAGGGGAGGGAGTGGAGGTAAATGGTCGGTTTCCCGACTCACACCCGACCCCAAAGGGTGCCTACAAAGTGAGACATGGGATGACCCTTGGTTGGAGCACCGCTTTGAAGCGAGGATACTTCAGCCACATGGGCAAAAAGTTGCGTGGGACCATTGGTTGGAGAACCGCTTTGAAGCGACGATCTTCTTCAACATGGGAAAGGTCACCACTTTGGGCCGAGCGGGGAATTTTCGAGCCACCGGAGCCGGAGATGTCCACCCCCTGGGCACCATCTGTTCTGCCCTTCCCAGGAACCAGCAGCGCGGGAGCGCGAAAGTCGAGTGGTTGAGACAAGGGTCCAAGCCTGGCCACTACCAAATACTCGGGAAAAAGCCAGGGCCTTCACCGGGTGCTTGGAGGCGGAGGTTCTCCTTGACCCAGCCAGAGATTGTTTTCTGGAAAGCCCCAGCCACTGGGCTTCAGTTCCCTTTAGCTTTCCCCCAAAACTCCAAGGCGGTGCCCTGAAAAGAAAAATGCGCCAAGGCCGCCTTTGACTTCATGTCTTGCTGGCTTCAGAAACCAACCATGCCAGGGAACCGGACCTGCCCCTCACCGAAGGCATATCCATAGACGTGCAGGAGTGAAACTTGAGCCATGAGAATCCCGGACTAAGCCCCTGGTGGATGAATAGGTCCCCTTTTAGTGGTTGGATTCAGACCCACTTGTGCAGAACCCCGTTTCACTGGCCCGGCTCGATTCTCCGGGGTCAACCTTCTACGATTTGCGCGAGGGGCAAATAAGAATCTCCCCCCAAGATGTGATTGACATTTGGTTTGCCCTGCACGTCCCTGCCGAAATCAGCATGCTGGACATCTTCTTATCCTAAAACTCAGGTCGAACTGAGGACAGCAACCTTGCTTCTTTCGGAGGATATGGACAATATGGGCGGGCCCTCGGGGTTTTGTGGGAACATTGGGTACCCCAACATGTCCTCACCTAACCAATAACAGGCTACAAATGGTATTGTTAGTGACTCATACGATTCTTGGGCAGATCATTTCCCTGGGGATTCATGGTCACCTTGCATTTTGAGGAGGTTGATCCTCGTATGAGTCACCCTTTTTGTCACTCATGTGAAGCTGCAACTGGCTTTCGCCCAAGCTGAGCCCCGCACTGCCACAAGGGGCCACCTTCAAGGGTCGAAGGCAAAAATCAGACATGTCGAGCGGACAACAACGACAAGCGAGTCATAATCAAGACACCGGTACAAAAATGGTCGACCCAGAACCATGCTTCAAGAATTAGGAAGGCGGATATCCGTAGCTATTTCTGGTTGGGATCGTCCCTAACCTTCATCTACCCGGGTTCTGATTGCGACTCAAGTGGAGTGTCCAAATAGGGCAACCTCCCCAACTGCGGCTTTCCCCTTCATTTCCCTTCACCCCAAATCAACCCAGTTGACATTGCTCAAACTGCCCGCTGAACAGCAGCTTCAGACTTCCCGCCTTTGGGTTCGGCTTTGGCCTCGACTTTTGCTCCGGCTTCCTTGTCCTCCATGCCAGCACAGGCTTCCTAAAAGTGCTTGAACTTCAAGTCCTTGAAGCCTTTGGTGGACTTCATGTACATTGTGGGGATTCCTTCCTGCTCATTGCTTCGACAAGCCCAAGCGGCTTAGAAGACCTGCGGGCTGCTTTTTGTTCGCAACCTGTTTCACGTTGGCTCGCGCATGGAACTCTGTCTATAGTTTGGGGGGAAAGACACATCCAGAGTCCACGACTTACTCTCCCAACTTGAGAGGAACAAATGCTCCAAACCAGGGTACCTCCAGTTCCATGCTAGGATGCACGGTCAAATCCTAGCGCTTGCGCACTCCAGAAATATGGCCATGGGTCAAAACCCAAATCGTACCCCTAGTGAACATCCCAATCCAACCACTAAAATAGGTCCAAAAATGGGTGGTGAATTCACCTACCCCAAAATGGGATCCCAAAACGGTTTTGACCCACAGCCATATCTCTGCCCGTCCTTTGCCCGAGCATTCGCTTGGCGATCGCGGGGAGTTTTCATCGGCGCAAGGGTGATGAGGCTACCTGCATCGATGCCAAGATTGGCCGTCTCTAACCTAGGTCCTCCAGTAGAGAGGTTAGAACAAGGGTGCCCTTTCTCTTTTTTGTCTATTTTAGTAGGGGAACCCTCCCCCAAAAAAGGGGTTAAAAAGGGCACGACTGGGGGACCTAGTAACTCAACATCCGTCGGCTTTGTCTCAAACTGGGGATCCCAGATCCGACTTGGTTTCCTTTGGGTTTCCCGGTTTCAAACCAAAACAACAAGGGCTTCCCCCCAAAACCCGACACCCAACTGTCACAAGACTTGGTGGCTTCCTTTTGGATTCCCTTTAAACCAACAAGGGCTTCCCGGAAAAACCTGACACCCAGCAGGGATCTTTGAGCATTGCCTTGTAAATGGTGGTTTCCCTTTATGTTGGTGGAAAAAGCCATGTTTCAAATGGTTGCAAAATGTATCCTTTAAGGAGCCACTGCCCAGATGTCAGATAAACAAAAGCAATAGCCTCCACAGGGCGGGGTCAAGGGCCGGTAGATGAATCGGTTGTAGGGCTCCTTGGTCGAGGCCAGGATCGTCTTTGACCTCGCGAAAGCGCTTTTTCCCCAGCGTGCGTGCAGCTGGGTGCAGCTGGGTGCAGCTGGGTGCAGCTGGGTTCAGCTGGGTGCAGCTGGAATTTTCCCCTGGGCAATGTGAGGCTTCTTGGGGGGGCTCCAAAGAATGACCCATCTTGGGCGTTTCCTTTTTTGGCCACGTCTCTCGTGTTCGCACCGGTTCCGCATGGGTTGTCTAACATAGGATGGCCCTTTGGAGTGCTCTCAGCGGGACATAGGGAAGCATATTTTTCGAGGTTACCGGCTTGCCGGATTCCGACAAACACCCATCCAACACACACCCCTCAAAAGGGGAAAAAAAGCCAAGCAAAAACAAAAAAAACACACAAAAACACACAAAAACACAAACAAAAAAAACACACATCGCGCACACCGGGCGCGTACTTCGCTTTCCGAGCGGCGATCTGCGCGCCGTGGTCGGAGCCTTAGGAAGCCATCGGGCCAAAGGAGAGGTTCTTAAACCGCGCTCATGTGCAAAGACCAATCTTGGGCTGTGACCATAGGTGGCCTTTTGGGAACAAGAAGATGGATTTCCCTGGCAAATGGAACAAAACCCATCTAAACCCGTGGGACCCATCTATTTTTTAACCAGGCTCACCTAAAAAGGACACCCATGGTTGTGACAGCTTAGGTTTTCGCACTTTCTTAGGTCTGAGGGGCGCGTCGCCAAGCTCTGAGAGCTTCTCTGCGCGGCTTCATGTCTCTGAGTGGTGAGAATCCGTTCCACAACCCGC